ACTTCACTTGATTTTTGGCAGCCGTTATAAAACGATTCGTCTCTCCAAAACCTTATTCAGGGAGAAGCTTCTTTCATTATCCAAGCTTTTCAACGAATACACTAAAAACATTCCTCTGACCTTCCTTCTTGGATTCTACGTCGCGAATATTGTATCCAGGTAGCGCGCATAACTTCAACATCAGAGCACAATTCACTTCGTGAATATCCAGATGGTGGCGCCAATTCGAATGCCTGAGCTGGCCGGAAGATTTATTGTCAGTCGTCTGTATGATGTTCCATGACAATTCTGACAGCTCCAAGAAGAAGCGACATCAAATCGCCAGATACCTGAATCTTGTGGCTGCTCTAGCCTGGTAAATTATTGGATAAAGGCTTGGGTCAACTATTTGCGATTTATATTTGCTTTTAGGCGCGACATCTCCGACAAGATTCGTTTGCGATTTCCGAGTACCCACAACTTAGTCGATGCCGGTCTGATGAATGAGCAGGAGTATGAGAGATTGGAGAAAATGGAGGTCTACCTTGGTTACCTCTATCAATAAGTGAAACATGAAGACCAAAAGCTTAGCGAGCATTTGAAATTCTTCCGAAAGTTAGTGGCGTGCCAAATGAGAAAAACTGCTGCGCTTTTTGAGCCTAAAGTCCTCTCAAATTTTTCTTTCAAAAACCTGCAGCTTCTGTTACAACATTAGATTTTCGACTATGCTCGCGGTTTTCTCTTGTGTGCCGGCCCTTGTCAGAAATCGAAAAGAAAGGAAATTACTATTCCACTCATAAATTTTCTGGATGTCTACAAATCACAGTCAGTAAAAAATCGTGAGCCTCGCCTTTATTCTATGGGAACTGCTTCTATCATGTTTCCGAGAACACGAAGCAACCATGCCATTTTTTCCATAAATCTCGATACGCGTGCAAAAATCATTCAGCATAAGTTTCCCTGCTTGGGGAAGAAGATAGTATTTTGTCATAGTCATTTTCAGATTTTTGGGCTTTCAGGTTTCTGGCATAGAAAGAGAAATTATAGAAATCATAGCACCGATTAGCTATCACCTTATTTAACTCACGTCAGATTTTTGGCAAGTTACCTGGAAAAATCAAGAATGATCAATCTTTTTCCTCTGAAACCCTAGTGAACAGAACTCAAAGCGCATGAGTTCGCCATTCCAACAAAATCGAAAGCAAGGAAATTTAACGAAGTAGCGAGCGAATTTTCAAACGCGGCAAACTTTAGCTCCAATCCGATCATGAGGTTGTGCTGTTTCAAAGAAGATTGACATCGTTGCAGTATGGTGAGCAATGTCTAATGAGCAAAGATATAAAGATAAATTTCAATGATTGAACCAAGGTTTACCTCAAACATCGTTCTAGCTGTTTTGAAAGAGCATCCATCTTATTAATAGTGAATTCTAGAGAAACTTTGCTAAACACTGTTACCTGACATCGTTTTTGCCAGCTCTTAAAATCTGTTGTTCTACATCGAGCTCACACACATAAGTCCTTTGTTCAGGGACCAGCTCCAGGTGTTCGATGGATGGCACCACTTCATTGGATTCAGCAGATAGTCAGCATCGAGGTATGCAATGTGGTGATTTTTCCCGTGAATCCGATATTTGCGAGCTACTGGATCGCAAATAACTTCTAAGAAAGAATGAAAGCTGTTCCTGCTTAGCTCTCATACCATGTTTTGAAAAGATTTCTTGAAAGGAGATGTGAACTAAGTTAGAATCTTCGCGCATAAGAAACCTTGAAAAATAAGATAAAAAATCTTTCGTAAGTTTCTATGTAGAAGTATGTGTGTATGGTTTTGATAAATGTGTACCTGATCCAGCTAAACTGGTATAAAACACTAATCGCTGGTCAAGCCGTGACTTCGCTCATGCTCAGATTTGACGTGATATTGAAAATGTCATTTTTGCTTCACAACTTGTAAAAGGAAAGAAAATTAGTAGTTTTATAGGTAGAAGCTGGACGTGTTCCTACACACTTTATGGCAGTTTTCATGAACGAACTGAAGCTATATCGTGTTTCATTTCGCAAGTTGTTCTGCCATGATTGGGTGTGCGTGCCCTTAGTTTACACACAGGTAGAATCTAAAATACAGATGCTGTTACTATCCTATTATCATTTGTAGGTGGCATCACTGGCAACTTATGCATTCTTCGTTTTCTGCCTTCTTGGTCGACAGAATTTCGAATCTAATCAAGAATATGACACCGTGTTTCCGCTGTTTACTATTGTACAATTTATTTTCTATGTTGGCTGGTTCAAGGTAAGAGAAAAGAAGATAAAACTTGTCTTATTCTCTGTTCGCTAGTGAAGTAAGTGATCAGAAAAGAACTCGCTTGAGGCTGAGATTGTATTCTTGGGAATCTCCTTGTCAGCCAAAGAATGATTCGACCAATCGAGCGAAGCATAATAATCACGCAAAAAGAAAGCAAACCATTCGTTTGGGTCTTTCCTAACTAGATTTCGATGTCCTCTAGAATCTTTATGAAACTTTCTATAAATACGTCACAAACACACATTTCATAAACTATCGTGCCAAGAGAACGTCATCGGCTCACTTTTTTGAGTGATTGGGAATTCTATGCCGCTGTCTTGAGTATGCTCAAAAACTGCAAAAGTAGCCTTTGTGAAAGTTTACTCCCCTTTGATCTGTATTTCTATTAGGCTCCACTCACTCAAAAACCCTTTTTTGATGTTCCCTTTCTCATTTTCTTTTGTCTTTGATTAAAAATCGAGGATAGTTGTTCTACGGCATGTTTGATCGTCTCTCACTGTGGACTGGTTTTTTCGTTCATCTTGCTTCTTTTCTTTTTTCCCAACTTTTCGCATCTGATTGTGAGCGACGTTAAGCCCAAGACAGAGTTCACGCCATTTCATCGCCGCGATGAAACTGCGACAAGACAACTGTTACGAATCCATTGCATGCCCATCAACTTGCATTTTGGTTGTGTTACTTTTCCAGCAGGAAATTGATGAATGTAAAATGAAATTGAATGAAAATCGCGACGATTAGACGCGGCGATGAAATCGCGTGAACTCTGTCTTGGGCCTTA